TGGCTAATGGGCCGAGCTGCCGAGGCACAAGTTCATATCGGCTCCTTTTGTTCACCGCGTCTTTCTGCCTCGCTTATGATTTATTGTATGTTTTGTCCTTTTTCTCTGTTTTCGTTTGTGTGAAGCATCAGGAGCAAAAAGCCACTTGCCGCGTTTTTCAGCTTTATTTTCTTTCTGCTCGTCTCTTTGTGTGAATATTTTACGCTTTGAAGATGAGACACGGGGGCCGCAGAAACGCATCAAATCAAACCGCCCACAGACCTCAGAACCGACGCCACGCTCGGCCCCTAACGGAGAGGTGAAGCGCTTTCTATTCATCTCGTCTGACCGTAATACGTGACTTACAGGTCACGGATTTTTACGTGACCTGTAAGTGGATTTCTCTGCCCCCCCCGGGGGGTCCTTACGTTAAATGGTAAACCTGGAGATGGAACCGCGGTCCTCCGCCTGAGGCGTGACCTCGTCCTCCGCCTGAGGCGTTGTACTCCCGCTGAACACTTACTACAGTACTACAGTACCTCGATATTCGCCGTTTGTACACGTCTGTGCGGTAGATGACCTGTTAACCCCCAGCTGAGCAGGTGTGGTAATTGAAACGACGAGAGGAGCCGGAGAAAAAACGAGATTCGTGTTACGTGTGAGAAGTAGATCGACAGGCGGCTCCTCACCGATCCGACGGTGTTTGTACTTCTTCATGCTTCATGTTTCTGACATTCACGCTGACATTTCAAGAGAAAATGTAATAAAACGCTTATGTTTGATTTCTATTATGAATCCGATTGAAAAATGGAGAAATTCTTCGAGACGCTCGACGTTGCAGGAACTGATCGGGAGGACCGGCTGGAGAAGACCCGCGACTGGAAGAAGGGGTCAAAGGTCAGAGGAGCTCATGCTGCAGGTCTCCAGCCGCTCTGCACACATTAAAGTTACCAACTCTATAAATATCCGCCTCGTTCATCGTGGACGGTTTGGTCCTCACGGAAATATTGGAATATTACAACGAGGAGAAGACGTCCACGGGAACGTCTCTGGAGAGAACGAGGAGAAGACGTCCACGGGAACGTCTCTGGAGAGAACGAGGAGAAGACGTCCACGGGAACGTCTCTGGAGAGAATGATGAGAAGACGTCCACGGGAACGTCTCTGGAGAGAACGAGGAGAAGACGTCCACGGGAACGTCTCTGGAGAGAATGATGAGAAGACGTCCACGGGAACGTCTCTGGAGAGAACGAGGAGAAGACGTCCACGGGAGGTGTCAGGGATGTTGCGTATGGAAAAAGGCAGGACTCAAACACAGAGTTCGAAAACAAAAAGGACTTTAATAGTCAAAACGGGCAAAAACACACAGGAACAGGGGGCATAAAGGCAGACAGGAGCGAGGGACATCCAGGACGATTGACAACGACGCGACAAGTGACACAAGAGACACACGGCTTAAATACACTAGGGAGGTGCAGGTGATTGGACACAGGTGGAAACGATCAGACAATCACAGGGGACGACAGGACCAGGCAGGAAGTGAAGTTACCCGGGGACAAGAAGCAGAAAACTAAACTAAAACCACACCGTGACAGGAGAGACAGACAAAGTCACACACATGATAAACTCAGCCGAACAATTTCTCTCACACACACACTCACGCACACACACACACACTATCAGGTCACGGACCATCAGAAGAAATGCAGCGATGCCACGACGTCCTCAGCGAACTGCAGACAGACAGAGACAGAAATGTCCCCCTCAGCTGTGTGTGCAGGCTTCTTACAAACAGGAGAACTGGGGACCTGAACTGGTGTCACAATCACACTGAGACGAGCGCACACACACACACACGCACGCACACACACACGCACACACACACGCACCCACACACGCACACACACACGCACACACACACGCACAGCGATGGGTCAGTGGAATGGAGTCCTCTCGCTCTTTCCTTTTGTATCGAGCGGATGAGAAACAAGTGCAAACAGGATCCGCTCAGATCGACATTGATCTGGTTTCTCTGCTTGTGACTCCGTGTTTGTGTCTGTTTGCCGTCATCACTTTGTCTCACTGGGTGTGTGTTCCACACGCGTGTGCCTCACAATCCCCACGTGTTCCTGCCCGTGCACGCAGGTGTGTGTTTGTGTGTTTTCATTCCACTAATGGCTAGGAGTGTGTGTGTGTGTGTGTGGTCACGGTTGTGCGTGTTATGTTGTATCAACGGATGCATGTGTGTATTCCGTGAGTCTCTGTAGGCAACAAATGATTGTTGAAGGTCACATCCAATCAGGAGCAAGGCTGCCTGGATAGAACGAGATGCATGGAGATGTATGCAGGGCAGGGATTCAAACATATATGTTTCAATTCACATATATGTTTATATGCACATGAATGTGTATATATTAGTTTTTTGTTTGGTACTTCTGATACCAAATTGTAATTTAATCCAGTCAGAAGTTCGGACACTTTCTCACTTATTCGAATGAGAAAATGTCCACAGAGAAGATTAAAGCACGAGAGGGAACTTTCTGTACGCTGCCGCCACAAGAACTCACCACACAACGCGATCATCAGGGTTGCATCTCTAGTTCAAAGTATTCTGTGCAACTGTCAGGGAATTGACATTAATAATAACCCTTCTGGACTCGATGTTTCTACCCATTAGTGAACAAAGCAGCGAGGACTCGTACCATGGTTTGATATTAAATACTACAATCCAATTCTTCTATATATATATTTCTTGTCTTAATTGATTCTCACTAAAGAAGCGTTTGCAGGTCGTCGCTCTGCTTCCCCGGAGGAGCAGGATGAAGTTCTTTCACCCTGAACCTTCACGTTGTTGCTGGTGGTGACTTTGCATTTGTCAGGTTTCTCTCGGCTTCCTGTCGTACATTCAGTCTGAAGGCTCCTTCCTTCACGGATTGTAAGTGTGGCTCCATATTTCTGCGTGATTAAATGTGTGTTTGCGTAGGAGGAGGAGGAAGAGGAGGAGGAGGAGGAAGAGGGAGGTCATAACCCATTACTCACAGCTCTCTGTGTTTACTCTCATCTAATAGGAAAAACAACATTGATGCTTCCACCACATTATAAATCGATATATTACTCAAACGAGTTATAAATCAGGCTGCCGTGGCTTCGCCGGAGCAATGGACTCTTCTGCATTGATTCCTTCACAGATTTAATAACAGCGTAGAGGATCACTGGGCTGCAATGTGAAGTGGATGTAATCACACCTCGGCCCATTAAACGGGCCTCTGGCCTGGTGCTCGGTCGGCTGCCGGCCTCCGGGGGCCTCCGGGGGCCTCGGCCTGTGAACACCATCGTTGCTTGGTGCGCGTCCGGGACGTCCCCGATATCGCTGATAACTCAAATCCCCGGGAGGACGCGTTCTCGGCATCGAGCGTCGACTCAAAATACGCAATCATGTCGTGATTTAATAGAAAATAATCGGACGAAAAGGATCGTTTTTGTGACGGTGTGCGAGGAAGTTCTTCCCCCTCGTTGTTCTCCTGGTAGCCTCTGGTCAAAACGCAACCAAGCCACTGAGTACGTGAACCGATCCAAATATCACTAAAGTCATCGACACAAGCGCTTAACGGAATAACACAGCGGCATTTGTGCTCATGACTGATCAGCGATCTGACATCCACATGTGGCCGTGGCTCAAATCTCATCTCATCTCTAATGAGGAGAAACGTGTTCACGTGGATCACAAGCAGAACGCAGATGTTTCCCTCAGGAGGCGCGATGACAACAACAACAACAACAACAACAAAACGAGGAGAAAACTGTCACTTCAAACAACGTATGTGGAGATAATTAGCAAACCCAAACATTTTGGACACCTCGCCAATCGTCTTTCAT